CAGTAAAATTTTCAAGACTCTAGCATTTCGATTTAAAAAGTTAAGAGGGGTGGGCTACTTATGATTCCTACTGTAATAGAATTCAATAAATTTTTTTTATTTAATTCTAAGAATTAGTAAAATTAAAATAAAATAAAATTAATTAAATTTTATTAGGTAGTTGCTGAGATGTTTTTGATCAAAATTTTAAATATTTAACTAAATAGAAGCTAATTCAATTTTAACAATAAAATTAATTTTAATTGAATTTTATTAGTAATTGCTAAGATATATTCATTCAAAATTTTAAACATCAAATAAAATTACTAATTTTAAAAAATTTTATTTATATTTAAAACTTCAATAATATGCAGGAATTTAAAGTATATAAATAAAAATTATAATTTTATTTATTTTGGTCTATAAAACTATTTTGCATATTTACAAAACCAATTAACTCACTTACACAACTATTTTTGTTTACTGTTTTGGCCTAAGGTTGCTTTAGCACTCACTCACCCAATAAATTTCTGTTTTTTTTAGTTTTTAAAACAGCTTTACTTATTTATTCACTCAATAATAATAATTTTTTAACTATCTATAGTTAAGTAATAAAATTCTAAAAAAAAATGCATCAATAAAAGCTTCCAATATTAAACCAAAAGTCTCTGTTCTTTTATTATTGCTATTTGCTACTGTATATTAGTTTCTGCTTTTTTTGTTGTTTTATTTTTGTAATTCTTCTATTACTAATTTATATACTTTAAAACCACTCTCTTGAAATATTCTTTGAAATATTTTTCATATATTAGAGTCAATAATTTTGTGATACTATATATTTACAAGGCAATAGATAATAATTTCAAAATAGGCAATAGTACTTAAATAAAATTAAACTCAAAGCACTTTTATCCTTTTCAAGTCTGTATTTAACAGTGTAGGCTTTTTTTGCTAATAATTAGTGAAAAGGATAAGAAAATTTGCAAATTTCCTCAAAAATATCACTTGTTACATTATATGCAGATACTTTTTTAATACAAAATTCAAATACAACACTCTTTAAATCAAATCATTTTTTAGTATTAATAGTGATGATATTGTAAGCAAATCTAAAATTAGATAGTGAGAAAATAGAAATTTTGACTTTTTTTAAAATTAAGGTTTAATTTCTCAAAATTAAAAAAAAACATATTTATGATTTTATAGACAAGCTTTTGTATAATTAGCAGTTTAAATCAATTTAATTTTATATTATTTATATAGTTTAAAGTACTTTTTTAAAAAATAAAACTATAAAAAATAAACAAAAAAGAAGTATACTATACTTCTTTTTTGTTTATTCTTTATAGTTTATTTTTTTAAAAATACTTTAAACTATATAAATAATGTAAAATTAAATTGATTTAAACTGCCAATTATACAAATGTTTGCCTATGAATACTATACTGATCTCGTTTACAATTTGTGAAATTTGTAAATCAAAAAAGAAATCACTACTAATATATGATCTGCTGTCATGACTTTATACAAAATAGATATTTGGCTATATGAGGTCCAAAGGGCACTTATATTATTTTTGCCATTGTGAAAAATAAACAGTACTTATTCACTTTTAATTTGTTTAGTTGATGATGATCATAATATTGGATTATTTAAAATAAGTCATTTCTTTATATTTATATTAAATTAGTCTATAGGTATAGTCTAAAATATAACAAAAAAATTTTTGCTGTATGGGTGAAAATTTTTAATGGAGTGTTGTGGCCAGTGTTGTACATAGCATATGTCTAAGCAAATTATTGGACATGGACAGTCTATAGACAGTTCATAAACAATGTTCAATGTTTATACCCATATTTTTTATATGTCTATGTTCATATCCATTGACAACACTGGTTGTAACTATATAAATTAATTTATTTATAGAGCTTTCACAAGAAATATGGGAAAAATATAAGAATAAAATTTTTTACAGGGATATGAATCATAATATATAATAAATTCAATATAATCAGATCAGCTCGGGTTGTCTTTAGTTATTTTAGCTAATCTGTTTGGAGCAGTACTTATAAAAACTGATAAGTAACTCATAAGTAATTAATAAGCAATTTTAAATCAATATCAACTATTTTTAATCTTAGTAATTACATGATATCATCATATATATTGGCTCAAATTCTATTTAATCTTATCTTCAATTTAGCTAATCACAAAATTGAAGATTTCTTCATATATATTCTATCTCGGTAAGATTATAAGTTATTAGCCATTTCTCATTAATTACTTATTTGGATTAATTTAACCGAAAAGTATAAAATAATTCGTTAAAGTATTTGAAAACAATATATGCACTTCTTGTTAGTTTTATTAGTTTATTGTCTAAGCTAATTTAGTCAATAAACAATCTTTTATTCAAGTTAATTCAGTCAATATTATTTATTAATCGAATTATTTGAATAATCTATGTATTTACTAGCTCATAGGACCCGGCGTTGCTCGGGTTCTAGTTTCTAATTTTTTCTAATTCTTAGGTTTATATATTTATATTAAATCTTAAAACCCAGTTATTGCCCCAGGTTCGATATTTCAACTTTTTTCAATTTTTTATATTATATTGGAGACATTACTTAGGTTCTAAAATTAATTATCATTTTTTAAAAAAAAATTAAATTATTTACTTTTTTTATATACGTACGTATATATTAAATTATTGCTTTTTATTTATTTTTTTATTAAATTATATTTCTTTTTTCTTTTATTAAATTATTATTGTTTATTTTTTTTTTATATTAAATTATTGACTTTTTTAAAAAAAATTATTGTTTTTTTTTATTAAATTATTGAATTAATTTAGAATTAACCAGTAGTAAAATTCACTGGCCTAAGAATTTTTAGAGTTAGGTTAGGATTAGGGTTAGGGTATTAAAAATTTTTTTTTATATAAAATAACATAGAGCTAATATAAGGTCTCAATTTTAGTTCTTGTAAGGTTTTTAGGAGTTCTGAACATTTTTATCTAGAGTACCTGATCCCGTTTACTTAGTACGTTTTTGAGATACAGCACCCTGGTAAATTTCACCTCCGGTGAGTGTTAAAATCATCCTAAATTATTATATATTTTTATTTATTTATTTTATATTAAATTATTGCTTCTTTTTTTAAAAATTATTGTCTTTTATTTTTTATTAAAATATTATTATTTTTTATTAAATTATTATGTGTTTGGTTGTTTTTTTATTAAAATATTATTATTTTTTATTAAATTATCATGTGTTTGGTTGTTTTTTATTAAAATATTATTTATTTATTTTTTTTATTAAGTTATCATTTTTTTAAAAAAATTTTATTTAGTTTTTTAAATTATTATTTTTAAAAATTATTAATATTATTATTAAATTATTGTTTTTCTATGTTTTGGTTTTATATAAATTTTTGATTTTTTCTTTTTCTTTTTGTTTCAAAAATTATTTAAACTTTTTAAACTTTTTTTAATTTTTAAATTTTTTTTTGGTTTTATTTTTTTATTTTTCAAATTTCTTTTTAAATTATTATTATTTTTTTAAATTATTTTTATTATCATTTTTTTTATATAACTTAATGAATTTTCGATATTTAAATAAAACTTTAAAAGATAGTCAAGTATGCATCAATCAAATTTCTTCAAATAGTTGATACAAAATTATCTCTTAATTTTAATTGGTTAACGGCCGCAAAATCTGCAAAATTTGGTTCATATTATATAATTGTTTACTAATTTTCAGCCATTATTTACTTTTGATTTTTCATTACAAAAATAGAAATTTTAGAAAAATAATCTCTCATTATGATAAAATTGACACAGGAACAATTTTCACTTAATATAGAGAGTTTACTCATCTTCATCTTCATCCTCTTGGAGTTTTTCTTTTTTTTCTTGCTGATGAGGCAGGTAGTATGCCTTCGTTCTTGGCAGCAAATTCAGAAGCAGTTTCATTAGTTGGTTTGGCATTGTCCTGGTTCTTTTTGGTTTTTTGAAGTTTTTTAGCTTGGTCTCATTTAGTTAGGTCAACAAAGCTCTGTGGTTTTATTAGTAGAATTCTTAATTATTGATCTTAGCCAATCAAAATTGAGAATCTATTGTGAAATTTTGTGGCAGCTAGGGTTATTAAGAAAGCTAGATAGGTATAACATGAAAATTGCATTTTTTAAAAAACTATCGATATGTAACTTGAAATTTCGGGTATTAAATAAAACTACATTCTGCACTCTAATATAAAAAATTCTAATTTCTAGCCTAACTTTAACATATATTTTTTACTTTAAAATATTATACATACTTGATTCATTGAAGAGATCTGGTTGGTACATATTTGTTGATATCTCAAACTAATGACTTAAGTAATAATATTATATAGTTTTTTCGAACTTTGAATGAAAATATCTCAGCAGTTGCCTATCTAATTCTATCAAAGTTGGAAAAACTTAACTGCTGATTTTGTTTTAATAATCACCTAAATTCTTTTTAACATTGAACATTAATTTCTCACAGTATCAGTAAAGTTTTTTTATATTAATTTCATGAATTCATAGGATAAAATAAAAAAAAACTTTCATTGATTCTAAATATGCAATGCACAATACTTACTGTAGTTGCTCACTGAGTTTATAAGCTACCATGCTTAGATTTGATTAGCCAACTTCAAAGATCATTGAACAGAATTATTAAACATTTAAGAGCAAAAAAGGGCAATTAAATTCATTTTTAAAAAAATTCAATATATTAGCTCTAAAATTTCTATCAAGGTTTAGAAAAACTTAACTGCTGATTTTGCTTTAATAATTACCTACCATATAACCGCGAAATAATACACAGGGGTGTTATTTCGAAGTTTGGCATAAATTAAGCTTAATTTAGGCTGAAAATTAAAATTACACCTCTGCGTATTATTTCATAGTTATACAGTAAATACTTTTTAACTTCAAACAATAATTTTTTGACAGCAAAATTAGTAAAGCTTTTTATATTAATTCTATGAATCTATAACAATGCACGATTCTTACTGTAGTTTCCTGCTGAGTTTATAAGCTACTATGCTTAGATTTGATTAGCCAACTTCAATGATTATTGAGTATAAATTATTAAATATTTAAGAGCAAAAAGGGTGATTCAATTCTTTTTTTTAAAAAAAAATACAATATATTAGCTTTAAAATTTCAATTAAGGTTTGGAAAACTTAACTGTGATTTTGTTTTAATAGTTGTCTAAATACTTTTTAACTCAAAATTAATAAAGTATTTTATATTAATTTCATGAATCCATAAAAAAAATTTCATTGATTCTGAATATGCAATGCATGATTCTTACTGTAGTTGCCCTCTAAGTTTATAAGCTACTGTGATTAGATTTGATTAGCCAACTTTGATGATCATCAAATATGAATTATTAAATATTTAAGAGCAAAAAGAGTAGTTAAATTCATTTTTTAAAAAAAATTCAAAATATTAATTAGTCTTGAATTTCTATCAAGGTTTGGAAAAACTTAACTGCTAATTTTGGTTTAATAATTGTCTAAATACTTTTTAACTTCGAACAATAATTTCTCTACTGCAAAATCAGTAAGATTTTTTTATATTAATTCTATAAATACAAAAAATAAAACAAAAAAACTTTCATTGATTTTGAATATGCAATGCACAATTCTTACTGTAGTTGCCTGCTGAGTTTATAACTATTGCACTTAGATTTGATTAGCCAACTTCAATGATCATTGTTACATGAATTATTAAACGTTTAAAAGCAAAAAAGGCAATTGAATTCATTTTTTTTAAAAAATTCAATATATTAGCTCTAAAGTTTCAGGTTGGGTTTAGGTCAGGTCGGGTCAGGTTTGGAATCAATTAATACTTTACTAAATATTATCTCATGATCCTAATCATGATGAATTGACAATGCTATATGATTCAAACCTTTTTTGGGTAGTGATTTTACTCTAATCGACTTTTGCTATTTCGCAAGAATGTAAAATTGGCAGAGTTTAAAACTCTGCTTCAGCGAAGTTTGAATTTTGCCAATTTCGCAGAAATGCGAAATAGCAAAAGTCACATAATGCTGCCACCAAAACGGACTTTAAAAATCTCCAATTTCTGGAGTTATTTATAATACACTAGTCTCTGTTCTAAAAAAAAGTAACAGGCCCCATGAAATATCTTTGCGTTAGCAGGAGTATTTCATGGGCCTGTTACTTTTTTTGGGGACATAGATTAGCATATTATAAGTAGAAAGACTTGCACGTAGGACTCGGCATTGCTCGGGTTCTAGTTTTTAATTTTTTGCTAATTCTTAGATCTCAATAAATTAGTTTTTAGAACTAAGTATTGTCAAAATTTAAGTTTTTAATTTTTTGTTAATTTTTAAATTTAAACTAAAAATCACTATCAAATATTAATATAATTTATA